CCGAAGAAGTGGGCTGTAGCCCACAAAAGCTTATGCTCAAATAAATTTGTTAGTCTCTAAGGTGCCACAAGTACTCCTGTTCTTTTTGAGGATGGAGTGGAGCACTCTGTAATTGCCCTATTCTGTACTTTTCCCCCTGAAGCTCTGGTACAGGCCACCACTGGGGACAGGATACTAGGAAAGATGGACCATGGTCTGACCCAGAATGGCAGTTCTTATTGTCAAGTATCATGAATCTTTTTTCTAGAACCTGAAATAATTTATGCTAAATAGAAAATAAGAACCTAAACTTGGACAGATATTAGGAATTAAATAGGCACTTTAAATTATTTAGTCTGCTGAAGCGGAAAGCATTTAAGACATGCATAAAGAAATCAATGTGTGCAAGTCAGCTTCTCAGAATTTTTTGTGAGCTGATGGTTTTTTGCTTTTTGGGGCCTTTTCTTCAATGTAAAGTGTCTTAAATTTGTTCATTAACTATAAAATGGCAAACTGATTTCCTGTTGATTCAAACAAAGTAGAGGACAGTTATTTGTGCAAAACTATTCTACTGATTATCTAGAGCTTATTCTCTTTTGACTTCCACTTGTTCACCTCCCAGTGAAAGTTCATTCAAAATCCAGAATGCAGACCAGAGTGCATGAGGTCAATCCAGTAGATAAAGACTGATATAATGTAGTGTTAGAAAATAAATACCTACTGCCTAGGTTTTATGAAGAGGCAGTCTTTTGTCTTACAAACATCTCACACACACTAATTTTTCAGTTCAGATAAAAGTTACAGGGTGCAGTCCCATTGTTGTCGTCTAGGAATAGTCTGGCACTTTAAAGGGTTCTGTTGTAAAAGATATTTAAATAGCCTAAAGCTGCAATTCAGCAACTTGTATTGCATCTGACTGAGACAGGTTAATCTCTGACTCTGTGTGCTCTCTAAGGGCAATGGTGCATAAAGTAATATCTAATCTTTAAAAACCTTTTCCTTAATGATCTGTATTTCTTCTATCTAAATATGTTTTACCTCTTCCAGCTATAATGCCATCAAAGCCTATAAGGAGGAAAGAAAGCTAGAAAGTCTCGGTGCAACGGAGCACCTAGTGTCAGCTGCTGAGGCCGGTGAGGAAAATGCTAACGAGATTAATGTTTACCTTCAGCCTGTCCATATGCTGTTTTTGCCTTTGTCTGTCAATGTTTCTTTTTCTTCCAGATGGCAAGTGCAAGTGTTTCAGTCCAGCTGCATTCACTTACAAAGTAATAATTAATATTGTTTGGTTGGACAGCTGTGTGTTACATTTTTATTCACAAATAGCAGCCACTAAAATGTTTTATGGCTGCATTACCCTCTTTTCTTAATATTTTATACAAATTCTAGTGCATAACCTATATGCAGCTGTGCAATAAAAGGCCAAAATTTATTAAACACATCCTTGTAATATAATGTATTAATGTTAATTTTGAGTACTTACAAGACACACAAAAGCAGATATAGGACTCAATCAGGCACCCATTGAAGTCCAGTGCAATAACTTGATTGGATTTAATGAGAATTGGATTGGACCTGTAGTGTCAATCAGATCTGGAATTCAGATCCATTTAATACTTAAAGAATTAAATGGATCTGAATTCCAGAAATATTAAATGGATCTGAATTCCAGATCTGATTGACACTACAGGTCCAATCCAATGCTCAAAATATCTTACCTACAAAATACAAATATCTAATCTCTGCAATTTTTAATCTAAATAATTTCTAATGTTCTTGTGTTCTTGTATACATTTCTCTGATATAGATGGTAATCTTGGAATTTTGGAGGATTTCTTGTTGCAATACTACACATTAAATTGTATCAGTTTGTCATTACTTCACAGTCCTATGACTTAAAGTAATCTGTAAAGCTACATCAGGTTAATCATTCTGACAGAGTTAGGTCCTTCATTACATGGACACTTTTTTTCTGTTTACTCTTGTTTAATTTTGAAATTTTGTATACCATAAGGCTAAATTGAGATTATTAAAGCACATATAAAATAAAACTAGCTTCTTATGTCCAGATTCCACCATTTGGACCATGGTGGAGTAAAGGAGGAGATTACATTGGGGCCAGTGGATAAGGATACACAGGGAGTCCTGTGGTCTGCAGCATGCACTTCTGCACAGACTCCCCAAATTATACCAGTTTCCCCTCCCACCCTCTGTTCAGCAGAACTATTGCAGTAGGATTCGGTTTCAAAGTTAAGAGGAAAAGAATGGAATGCCTACACTTTTCTTGTTTAGTATTCTTGTAGGATGGGTGTGTGTTTGTTTGTTGTACTGAATTGAACAAAATGGTACAAACTTTCAGCGTGGCATTCATAATATTACCCTAACTTCCATCTGTTCTTAGGAGTCATGACCCTCTGTATCACAAACCCAATATGGGTAACGAAGACGCGGCTTGTGTTACAGTATGATGCTGGCATTGATTCATCAAAGCGCCAGTACAAAGGAATGTTTGATGCTCTTATAAAGATATACAAGCTGGAGGGTATACGTGGCTTATACAAGGTAATATAATTTGACATAATGGATAAGAATTCTGGAATTTATCGTGGGTGTAATAGCACTGTGGCGCTTGTGGAATTGGAAAGTTGTTACATGTTACTATAAAAGCTATCTTTCATCGTCTCATAAGCCTATTTCTACCACACTAGAGGATTGCAGCAAAAAAGGCTTATAATGGTAAGTAAAGGTTGCAGAAGGATAAGCAGTAGTGAAACTGGAAGAGGGGAGACTATGAGGTACATGGACAAAAGCATTGTGGGCTGAAACTCTGATGTGAGAGGAATACTATGGCTAAAATAGAAAAGTTGAATCAAGAACTGCTTTTGTTTAATAATCATTAATTTGTCCTCTGTAGTATTCTCTTCTAGTTGTTGGAGGAGAGAGGTGGCAGCAACAGGGCATAATTTCTAGGGCAAATTGATGCTGATATTGATCAACTGTTCCTTCATCCAGTCCCATCTCTCTGCCTGTCTTTCTGACATCTCATGATGTCCAACCATCGTCTTAAATGCAGTATGACTGAAACAGAGTTATTAATCTTCCCTCCATTACTATGGATAATACTGCAGTCACCTCCCACATCCCATTTCCAGGCATTTAGGCCTGTAATGTGTCATCTTCAGCTCTGGATCCACACATTTTGTAGGATTTTAAATTTGGCTACAACAACTAGCTACAACTGCAAATGTGGCTCTTTTATTCTTTCCATGTGAGAATTTATTTAGGGAAACAAAATAACAGCTTGATTTGAACTTCATTCTGCCTCCCTTCCTTCAGGCCATGACATTAGGACAGTCATCAATACCTTGGAACCTGAAGAACTCTGGTTCTTCTGATCCAACTAATGTGGAGGAACAGGCTTGCTTTCTCTTAGCAATTATGGATAGGTTACTGAATGTTCATCTCCCTTATTTGCTGAGGGAAACCTGATCCCAGTACTCTGAGATTGTTATAGCAGGTACCAATGAATGCCAAGTTCTGAAAACTCTGAAACAAAATATTTCTCTTACTCCTTAACCTGAAGTTTCTGGGATTCTTTGGTGTGCCTGGATAAATGTTTGTTCTGTTCCATGTAGATCATTTCTAATTTCTTGCATCTGTTAGGACTTCTTAAATTCTGTTCCATTGGGGTGCTTTTCAGATTTTCCATGTGTTTGGTATGTGTTTTGGCCCTCGATGCTTCTCTCTAGTGCTAACCTTACCTGCAAGAGTAGGGATCCAAGCGAAGCTCTTCCTTTGAAAGAGTCTATAATAGCTGTTCTCTAAAGAAGGTTACCCACATAACTATCCACATCAAGCAACTTTTGCTTGAGATTAGGACTGTCTCAGCCTGTTATATTCTAGTATAGAGTACTTCAGGCTTTAATTTCTTAAAAAAAAGCACAGAATGACTTTCCCTGCTGCTTCCCCCTCTGTGTGCCATGTTTGAAGCTTTGGGAATGGTGGATGAGTGACTTGGAATCTAGCCCTCCAGCCAAACCACAGTAAAGAGTTCTCCTGTCTGGACTCTAGTTATCCCAAAAGCAAAATGCGTCTCTTTCACAGCCACTGACGCAGGGTTGCCCTCCCTGAACTGAACAGTTTCTTTTGCACTCCCTGAAACAGCTTTCTCTTTAGCCTCTTGTGCGGATGACCTTGCAGCCACAATTTTCAGACCTGCCTGGGATTGGTCATTCATTTGCCCTGTTGATACAGGGTTCCTCAATAACTTGCCTTCCCTGAACTAAGCAGTTTTTTTTTTCTTGATCCTCCCCAGGCCCAATCCATCGTTATTCTGTTGATACAGGGTAAAGGAGGCTTCATTCAACCCAGCTTGCTGTCCCAAAATAAACACAAGTGCCCAGTACTCAAGCCTGCACCCTTACTGTATTACCTCAGGCCTTTTCCTTCAGATACTTGACTCTAGAGTTCTGTTCCATTCACCTTCCTGTTTCTCTAGTCCATCCACTAGGTTGTTCCTTTGGTGAAGAGATCAGAGAGAGAGGCTCTGCCAAACTGAGGCAAGAACAGCTCTCTGTTTATAGCCTAGCTGTCACATAATATGCCCTGCCCATCATTGCCTCCTGGAGACTTCATCTGCCAGAATTCCCTTGTTTGAAAGGGTTAAGGCCCAGTAAACAGTAGGCTGGTCTTGCCAGGTCTTAAAAGAGCCAGCACAGTAATCCCAGGCCTAAGCATGCCAAATCATGATTTAGGCCCAAAAAATATCATGAGATTGGCTTAAAAATAATGAGATTTAAAATATACTAATTTTTGGGTTCTCTTTATTTGACTCTGAGACTTCAAGGTTTATGTTCTCTAGCTTTTCTCCATAACCATTAGGGATAAAAACTTAAATTAAAAATAAAAACAGAGTCTCATATAATCACAAGACCCCAGGCGCTGGGATTTTAAGAAAAACACCAAATATTGTGAAACTCACGATAAAATCACTTGAGTTAGCATGTCAGCTGTATATCCCATTTTGTTTTTTTCCTTAGATTAAAGCTGCTGATTAACAATAAATCCTTTGTCAAGAGGATATGTAAACATATCTTGAAAGGGACTATAGCAGAGATTTTTTTAAGTTTCATGCCTTGGCTACTGCAGTCTCCTCCTGTGGCCTTGGTGCCTCCAAACCTGCATCCTTCAAGTTCATCCCCGTTCAGTGGTGAAGTGACAGCAGCAATTAGAAATAAAAAAGCAAAATGTAACAATTGGAAAAGGAGGGAATAGATAGCTTCCCTTCTCAATTTTCTACACTTCATAATTTGTAATTCATTGATTCCAAAGAATACAAGGGAAAAATCCATGGTTGGCAGCGCTAGGGACAATAAGAAGACATTTTTAATTATATTAGGAACAAAATCCTAGCAATGGTATAGACACTTGAAATGGTATAATTGTTAATGATGATGGAGAAAAGGAAGAAGTGTTCAATAAATATTTCTGTTCTGTATTTGAAAAGAAGCAGGATGATGATCTCATATCACATGACAATGATAATACTTTCCAGTCCATTAGTAATGAAGAAGGATGTTAAACAACATCTGCTAGTGATAAATATGTTTGAGTGCAAGTTATCCAGGCCTGTTGATGTAAGAGTCTTAAGAGAGTTGGCTAAGGAAATCTGGCCCACTGATGTTCTTTTTTCAGTAAACCCTGAATATCAGGGAAATTCCAAAGGACTGGAAGAGTGCTAATATTGGGCCAATATTCAAAAAAGGGCAAATAGGATAACCTGGGTAATAATAGACTGGTTAGCCTGACATCAATATCTGGCAGAATAATGGAAAAGCTGATATTGGATTCAGCTGATAAAATAGTAAAAGATGGGAATATAATTAATGCTAGTCAACATGTTTTTAGGGAAAATAGGTCTTGTCAAGCCTGATATTCTTCATCTTTGAGATTACAAGTTTGGTTGATTAAAGGTAACTGCTTAGATATAATATACGTAGTACCACACAACATTCTCATTAAAAAAAAATAGCATTATATAGTCTCTATAGAATTCACATTAAATGGATTAAGAAGTGAATAACTGATGGATCTTAAAAAGTAGTCCATGAGGAATTGTTGAATATAGGGGTATTTCTAATGGGGTTCCACAGGGATTGGTGGTAGGCCCGAAGCTATTCAGCATTTTCATCAGCAACATATAAATAATATAAAATCACTACTGATAAAACTTGAAGAATTGCTGGGCCCAGCTTCCCTTAAAGGGCCAGCCATTCTGTGCTGTATTCACAAGAACGCAACCTAATAGCAGGTAGGTGACTGGCAAGTAGTGATCACTGCTACTAACTGGCTAAGAACTTGAACCCATTCTGTTGGATTTGTTACCTTGTCTCCCCTGGCCAATTATTTGTCTTGTCCACTTTTAGCATAGTTTAAAAGACATGACTTCTCCCTGCTCTGCTCCCCCCAAGCACCTCAGAGGGTACACACTCAGGAGGGGTGGGGTGTGCTTGACCTCTTGAGATCCAGAATCATTCTCCCATTGTGGGTCTCCGTGTTGAACTCATGACTCCCTGCACTGGAGATCTGGATTATTCAAACTGCTACTCCATCGGCGGTGCCTCCTGGGGAAATAATGGGTAATCCATCCTAACTGGATACCATACTCCATTCATAAATAAATACATAATTCTCAAATTACCAAACAGCTCCAATAAACTTTATATAAACAATAGAAATTATAAACACAAAAAAAGTCAAGAACAAGATATACTAAATAAATATATATGAACATGGATAGATTTTTAAAGTATACACGCAGCCATCTGTAGAGGATGCCATAAACCTCTTTTTATTTCTCTTTTGGTCACTTAACACAATCACCCACAAAGTCTCCCTGACTCTAGTTATGTCAGCCCTCTAACACGGGTTCTCAAACTGGGGGTCCGGACCCCTCAGGGGGACACGAGGTTATTACATGGAGGGTCGCGAGCTGTCAGCCTCCACCCCAAACCTCACTTTGCCTCCAGCATTTATAATGGTGTTAAATATATTAAGAAGTGTTTTTAATTTATAAGGGCAGGGGTCGCACTCAGAGGCTTGCTATGTGAAAGGGATCACCAGTACAAAAGTTTGAGAACCACTGCTCTAAAGTGTCAGTCCCACGTCCAGGTACCTGTCAGTGGTGCACTTGTAGACATTGCAGGCACTGTGGCCTGGTGTCTTGTCTGAGGGGTCCAATGATCCACACAGCAATTTGAATCTCGGAAATAGCTTTTCAGCTCCAAAGGATGATCTGAATCCTTCTCTCCTAGGGTAACAATCTTAGATATGAGCTTTCTGCTTTTCCTCCTGGGTGAGGTAACTGTTAGTGATCAGGTTGTTGGCTGTGGCAGCCAGCTGAACTGTCTGTCAGGCAGTCACTGCCCTCACAGTGGCATAGCAGGCCCTGTGGGAACCCAGTTTGATGGAGTTTCCCAACTGAGGATTGGGAAAATTGAATAAAAGTCAATCTGTGAGGGGAACTGGATGCGCCCTTCCTCTCTGGTGCTCTTTTTGCCACCATCTCTCTCGACCCTTTCCTCTGTCACCTCAAAGGAGGGGCTACCTCCTCCTTGTATCTTTCTCAGCTATTTGCAGTGATTTTAGCCGTGCTGGTCCCAGGATGTTAGAGACACAAGGTGGGTGAGGTACTATTTTTAATTTAATTTTATTTAGAAGAACTCTGTATAGCTGGAAAGCTTGTTTCTCCCCCCCTCCCCCCAACACAGGTTGGTGCAATAAAAGATATTGCCTCACCCACCTTTTCTATCTAAACTGTCACCCCAGAGGGATACAGAACCATTTTCTCTCTCCCAGACCCCTAGGGTAGAGAACCAATCAAAGGTCCTCTCTGTCAGGACATCTGGGGCTGCTGGTTTAGTTCCCTCCCTCCAGCCTCCTCTCTGCTTAAGAGAGGATTGCCTGACAACAGGGCAGCAACACTTCTGGGAAACAATCTTTGGCCCTGGCTGGCCCAGATAAGTTTCACCCCCTTATGGCAAGGAGGGCGGGGGTGTTGGGGTGTTTACTGCTGTAAACTCTTTGTGGCAGGGGCTGACGTTTAGATAGATGTGTTTGTACGGTGTGTAGCACAACAGGGCTGAACCTGGTTGTAGCCTTTAGGTTTTACAACAGTATAAATGTCTGAGTTGTGTGTATTGGGAGGGCAGCACAGAGCGTATGTTGGAATAAGAAGATGCAAGCAGGGTGTCTAGCGTTCAAGGATTACAGATTAACTTTTTTTTTTTTTTTTTTAATAAAAATGTTTTAGGGATTTGTGCCTGGTCTGTTTGGAACTTCACATGGAGCACTTCAGTTCATGGCATATGAAGATCTGAAATTGAGATACAATAAACATAGAAACAGACTATTGGATACAAAATTGGTAATTTGCCTTAAATGGAAACATTTATCTTTTATAGTATGTGAGTATTTGGAAACCAGATCTGTCTAGAACACAGATCAGATGAGACTGTACTGTTGTGCAATTGCCACAAACTACCAATTTTATTAGCTGTTAATGTTATATTCACTTTTGACAGATCACACAGGAAAAATAAGGAAAATACTCAGTTTTTTCACTTTCAACTTTTAGTACAAATTACCTCATCACCAGCCAATTAGCACTGTTTTTACATGTTGGGGAAATTCACTTTTCATTTGAGAACTTGGGAAATCTTGTTTGTTTTGTTTTTAAATTAACTTTTGTTGCGTCTGATGAAGTGGGTATTCACCCACGAAAACTTGTGCTCCAATATGTCTGTTAGTCTATAAGATGCCACAGAACTCTTTCTCGCTTTTTACAGATCCAGACTAACACAGCTACCCCTCTGATATTTTGGGAGAATGTTTGTAGTTCTACAAATATAAACAAATAAAAAAGTAACTGTACCAAAAAAATAATTTATAATATACTTTTTAGGATATTACTTCAGTATGCTATTGAACTTGTGGTATAAATGAGAACATCAGTATAATCAGTTTTTACACCAAAATAAGTACCTCTAATGCGAGTATTAATGTGTAATAAACATCAGCACTTACTGAAACTTGTATTCCCTTCTTATAGGAAAAAAATCTAGAGTATTGCTCTGTTCGTGCTTTAAAAAGCAGTTTGATAGTTCCCAGCATTTTATTTAGTTATTTGTAATTTGACTTAAACTAACATTGGTAACTTTCTTATAATTTTAGACTGCTTTAGAATACATTACCATGGCAGCACTATCCAAAATATTTGCTGTGTCAGCAACATACCCATATCAAGTAGTGCGAGCTCGTCTTCAGGATCAACACAATAGGTACTCTGGAATGGTTGATGTTATTCGCAGGACGTGGAGGTAGGCATAGAGAAGTAAAAATGCAATTCTGAAAATGACATCACCTTAATCAACAGATCTGCTCCTGGTGTGTAGTCAGTGTTGTGGCTGTTAACTTCAGTGACACATTTTTATTACTGTTTTTTTCTGTTGGCTGTGTTAGTTCTGCAGGGCCAAGTGTAAATTGGATTCTGTTCCTCCTTGTGCATCACCTGCTCAATAGTTATTTACTTAGAGCTTATCTTCACGTACAGCACTACATTGGCACAGCTGCACTTGAGTGAAGACGCTAACACGCTATTGAGAGAGCTTCTCCTCTCAGTGTAGTTAATCCACCTCCCCGAGAGGTGGTACCTATGTCAATGGGAGAAGGTCTCCCATTGACATAGCGGTTTCTACACAGAGGATTAGATCAATATAACTACATTGCTCAGGGGTGTGGCACTTTCAAACCCCTGGGTGACGTAATTATACTGCTATAGATCTGTAGTGTAGACCTGAACTTACTTAAATCTGTACAAACTCTTTGTAGTCAGTGCGGTTGCACAGGTGCTAGAATTTGAAGACACGGGAGAGGTGTAACACTGTATATTGGGGGTGGGGAGAGACATTGTGGGCTTCCACGTTTGTTTGTCTCAGTGATTTTTTTTCATTCAAATGTGCTTAAAAATGCCCTTTTTTCCCCCCCAAAGGAAAGAAGGAGTTCATGGATTTTACAAAGGAATCATCCCCAATGTGATCAGAGTGACTCCTGCCTGCTGTATCACCTTTGTAGTGTATGAAAATGTATCTAATTTTTTGCTTAATTTTAGAAAAGAGAATCATTAAATTAAAGCTAGGAGTTTGCATCCAAAGGAGTTTACTGTCCTTTATTTTTTGAAATTTGTAATCCGAGAAAAATATTGTACAACTGTCTAGCTTGAGATTGTGAACTTCTCCTGTAATCAATGCAAGAATTTGGGGATCAGAAAACCTAAACTGCCTTCTCTTCTATTGGAGCTCTCCTGACCCCTCTTTTCTGTGAATCAGCAGCCTCTGCCTGAAACAGCTGTTCCCATCCCAACCTTAAAACAGCACAGTGACTGAATAAAGGCAGACTTGCAACAGCTTTGTCCTTCGATTAACTGATCTCTCTAAATCATCTTTTCCTATACAAGAGCAAGAACCTGATGATGTCCAGGGTTAATTGAGTGGGGTTGTGAGGACATCAAAAGTTGTGATAGGTTCCAGATCTATCAAACACAGGGCCTCTCTATGGCGGTCTCCCCACAGAACTGTGTACACGTTTGTCCTCATGGTGGTCTGGAGTTTTCTAAATCCCATCCATGTGTAATTTGTCAGGTTTCAGAATTACAAATGCCCTGATTGCAGTGTGTGTGCAGTGCAATCCCTGACTCACTGGAGGAGACTGCCGGGGCGGGGACAGCACAAACATTTAGAGTACCTTTAAGGTACAGTGTGGCTGGAGACAGTGAGGAGAAGGGCTTTCACCCAGCCCATTATATTAAAATCTGATAAACCTCCAGTTTTAGTATAATGTCCAAGGCATCTTGCAAAATTTTTGCAGCATCAGACCTAAAGCAGCAGTTAATGTGTCACTGGCCACTTCTCCACATTTTTTCCTCTTAAAGGGAAAGACAAATTCTCTCACTTAGTTACAGAGATTACATGTAAACTCCAGGTTGAGTTTACATTGAAGTAAAAGGACATGTTCAGACACATAGACATGTTTAACAAATAGTTTGGTGCTTTTGCACTAGTTTTTGTAAATAACAGCAGTTTTCAAAGTCTTATTTTAAAGATGGCTATTTCAAAATGTTGGTCTTATTTATTCAGAGTTTCAGAGTGGTAGCCGTGTTAGTCTATATCAGCAAAAAGAACGAGGAATACTTGTGGAACCGTAGAGACTAACTAATTTATTTGGGCGTAAGCTTTCGTGGGTAAAAACCCACTTCATCAGATGCATAGAGTGGAAAATACAGCGTGCGTGTGTGTGTGTGTACACATACATACAGAGGACATGAAAAGATGGGAGTTGCCATACCAACTCTAACGAGACAAATCAATGAAGGTGGGCTATTATCAGCAGGAGAAAAAAAGCTTTTGTAGTGATAATCCGGATGGCCCATTTCAAACAGTTGACCAGAAGGTGAGAGTAACAGTAGGGGAGAAAAATTAGTATGGGGAAATAGTTTTTAGTTTGTGTAATGACCCATCCACTCCCAGTCTTTATTCAAGCCTAATTTAATGATGTCCAGTTTGCAAATTAATTCCAGTTCTGCAGTTACTCGTTGGAGTCTGGTTTTGAATTTTTTTTGGTGAAGAATTGCGACTTTTAGGTCTGTAATTGAGTGTCCAGAGAGGCTGAAGTGTTCTCCAACTGGTTTTTGAATGTTATAATTCTTGACGTCTGATTTGTGTCCATTTATTCTTTTGTGTAGAGACTGTCCGGTTTGGCCAATGTACATGGCAGAGGGGCATTGCTGGCACATGATGGCATATATCACATTGGTAGATGTGCAGGTGAACAAGCCCCTGATGGTGTGGCTGATGTGATTAGGTCCTATGATGGTGTCCCTTGAATAGATATATGGACTGAGTTGGCCACGGGCTTTGTTGCAAGGATAGGTTCCGGGGGTGGGTGGGGAGAGAGAGTGAGTGTGTGTGTGTGTGTGTACGCCTACCGTATTTTCCACTCCATGCATCTGATGAAGTGAGTTTTTGCTCACAAAACTTATGCCTAAATACATTTGTTAGTCTCTAAGGTGCCACAAGTTCTCCTTGTTCTTTTTATTCAGAGTATTACTTGACACCACATATGTAGTCTTCCACCATAAGCACTGTGCATGGGAGAAGAACATTTGAAACAGCAGTGGCATCCCAGGGGTCAGGATCCAGGGTACATGTTTTTCAGAGTTAGCAGACTTTAGTTATTCTTAATTCTGCATCAGGAAAATGCGTTCTTTGCAAATATCCATGTTTGTAACAGCATTCAATTGTTTTGTATAAAGTATCGAATGAGAGGCAGGAGTTAATAAATGTAAATACAAGAATTATTCAACCTGTAAGTTAAATAACTTGGAGCCCGGCAACTGGTTTACCTTCTTTATTGCTTAGGAAATTGATTATTCCAAAAGCTCATCCTTTCATAGCATGCTAACCTAACCTATGGCAAGTTCTTTGTACATAAGAAGTAATTTGGAGTGAGCCTGGAGTGAGAAATTTTATGATTCTGGAATTTAGGACATTGCAAAAGTTAAAATGTTGAGCATTCTTAATTCAACTATCTGAAGAGTAGCTTGATATTGAGAGGAATGTTTTTCAATTGACTAATCTTACTGCCTTCTTGGGTAATCTTTCCTGCATGTTTAAGTCTTTACTAACTAAGCTTCTTGGGGCAGGGACTATCTTTGTTCTATGTTTTTACAGCATTGTGTGGTCCAGGTCTGTGACTAAAGCTCCCATGTGCTACAGTAATACAAATAATAAATAACCCATTCCTACTCCCACTCACACACAAAGACCTGAGAACATAAATGTCTAAATTATGAAATTGCTGGCATTCAGCAGAGATGGGATACTGTTAGGGTTCCATTAGCTGGCCTTCTTTATTATATAGGCATTTTTTATATTTACATTTCATTTGTACTTGAATGATAACTGAACTTACTCAAAGGCCCTCATGTGAATTACGAAGCTGAACATCTCTGTATAATGCAGTTGTTAACTTCATGTGCCTTATGAGGTTTTTATTTAACAAAAAAAAATCAAGTACATAATATGTAGGACTAATTCAATAGGGCATTGCTAACCACTCGAAGATGAGAATATACTCTGAAACCCCATGAAAACAGTGGCAATGAACAAAGTTCTAGGGAGATATATCCGCTGTATAGCTTGCTGGACCTCAGCAGCAACACTGATCTGATATTATTTCCAGGTAGAAGAGCCTGACAGCCTCCTAGTTTCAGGTTAGTTTATATGGTACACCTCTACCCTGATATAACACGAATTTGGATATAATACGGTAAAGCAGTGCTTTCTGGGGGAGCGGGGCTGCACACTCTGGTGGATCAAAGCAAGTTCAATATAACGCAGTTTCACCTATAACGCGGTAAGATTTTTTGGCTCCCGAGGACAGCGTTCTATTGAGGTAGAGGTGTACCAATTCACTGCAAAATGGAGGTAGAAATTTGAGAGGGAAATGCAGTGACAATCTTAAAGAATATGTATTGCATATTCTCTTCAGAACCTGGCTGAGCCAAAGTATTTCTTTAATAATAATAATAACAAAACAAAAGTTAAAACCTGAATCTAAGCTGTACAGGTTTTTTTCTTTTTAATTCTAGGGAAAACTAGTCATTACACTTTCACATGTTATACATGCTTTTGTGACTTTTCCTTTGGATTGTGTCTTCAGTGCAAAATTTGAATTCTTTCTAACCACTTAACATTTTTTTTAAGTTGTAAAAATTTTAAAAGCGCCCCACTTTTGTGGGTACTGTCACTTGACAGCTGCATTTTGGAGTGAATACTTAGAATGCTACAGTTAGCTATGAGAAATGCTGAATGATCAACATAATCATTTTCTTTATCTAGTCTTATGAGACTGAACACATTACCTTCATACTGTGATTGCTTCTAACACTTGCAAACTATTCTGAAGGCCATACAGCGTGAGGCATTTGAGCCTACCCTTAAATATTTATTTTTTCCATTCCTATTAATGTAACACACTTCATGCTTTTGTGTTGCTGATTTATAATTATGTTAGCACCAAAGTGATAAGTGGTGACTGGCTAAGAAGACTATGAAATAAACTAGTTTGTTGGGGAAATGAAATACCTTAATTATTAAAGTAAATCAACATTTGTTGTAGGAGAATTGTCCAATATATTCACGCTTATTAGTCTTCTTCAGTATTAACTGACTTTCATACTAAAAATAAATTGGGTGTGGAGAACCTCTTAATGAGTTATTTAACTTAGTGGGGGAAAAGCCAAAATGGTATGCTGAAAACTTAATCTTTTAAAATGAGTTATTTTCTGCTTCTTATTGGCATGGATCCAACTCTCAAGAACATCAATGGGAGTTGAATCAGAACTACAGTAAAATTGAGTAATCCTGTGCTACAGTAGTACAATCAGGTTTGTATAATATGATTTGATACTTTTAAGTAATGCTCTTGGAATCTAAAATGAAGAATAAAGTATAGTATTTTCTCCACAGATATTACTTTCATGTCTGTCAAGCTACTCTAATACACCTGTTTCATAATAGTCATGTAAAAAGTAAAACCCTTTGCATTTTGCTGACAATAAAATAGCCTGGATTTTTGCCGCTTTTTGTAAAAGGTCTTATTTATTTAACCAATATAAAAAGATTTAATGTAAAGTTTTTACAAAGGTGATAAATATTCGGTCCAAATTATAATAAAACAACTGGACAAACTTGTTTCTAATATTTGTTCTAAAATTATATTGTAGAAGAACTTGCCAGGTGTGCTCAACAGTGATGTGCCTACATGTTAAATAGTTCAGCTGGAAAAATTCAACTAGGGTGCTTGTAAGCAAGTTTGTGTATTCTGGCCAAATGCTTACAAAGCTCTACAGAAATACTCAATTTCAAAGTTAATTGTACAAAATGTATATAAAAAAATTGATAGGGGGCTTGGGAACGATGGGTTATAAGGAGGTTTAGAAAAAACTTCTATTTCGGCAGCTCTTCAATGATGATCCGAGAGACTGAATTCCATCCTGTAGAAGCATCACCTCTTGGGTAATCTGCACAAGTACCAACCCAGATAGCAACATCCACCAACCCAGCGCTGATTCCTTCACACAGTCCTTCCACTGTTTAAAGACAAACGTATCTTATTTCAAATAATCAGTATCACCTATTTCACTGATTTCCCCCCCCCCCCCCATATCCTGACTTGTATAGTTAACATGCCAAAGAACAGCAGTTCAGTGCAACTCTGCATAGAAACGCCATTAGTTAGGGTTACTATGTTGCTACTGTTTAAATCTTTGGGGGGGGAACATTGTCTTCCAGAGTACCATGGCCGCGGAAGAAACGATCTGCAGCCAAATGTTTTTCTAAACCATTATACAAAGTTTTTAAAGTAATGTTATGAACTATAGAGTTAGTTTTTAACCATACACAGTTCCTTATTTCTGTTCACTTTTTCAATGGTCTCCATTGTAGTGGCAATGCTAATGGGAGACATGAATACAGTGGTAACAAACCCATTCTGATACTTCATGGAAAGGCCTACAATGGCCACACTGAGTTTTCATGGATTTTCTTGTTACTGTAGCGAAATATTACCTCGGGGAGGAGAGAGAGAGAGTCAGAGACCTTCTGTCATAGACAAAAAGCTGAGCTGCTAACTTCCCATAACTTTGGGCCTCTTACAAGCAGCAGTTGTTCTCCTGTGAAATCTTCTAGCCTATTCTGCTGCGCTGTGGTGAATATTCTCTATGCTACAACATCTGGTAAATTAGATGTTGCAAGTCTTTGGTTTTATATACAATTTCTCTCAGTATATGTTTATAATTCAAGTTATTAAGGGGACATATGGCGGAGGTATATTTTATTTGTTTCTCCCATTTTCCCCATATCATCATCTTTGATACTGAACAAGAACTGTTGTGATTTGCCCCTTTCTTAGAAGAGGACATCATATAAGATGTGGATAACTAACTATTCCTGAATATGATTTGGTTTTAGCTTTTAACATGATAGGCCTCACTGGTAAAGATGGGTTTGTGTTGGAAGCTCCAGCAGAAATTAGTCTGTCTTCCCAAGAATATTGCATGCAATTCCATACCTGATGCACATAACTGCACAAAAGACAATACAGGTCCAATACATACACTGCCAACTTAAAAGGTGGTATTCCAGTTTCACCAAAGCACTAGAGCTATTTAGTTATACTGCAGTTGGGCAGAGTGTCACACATGCCATTTTTATCCTAATTTGAAGGAGCAGTAGTTGTTTAATAGAATCCTATTGAAGCTCAGTGGGTTGGACTGGATAAGGTAAGTCTCTTCTTCTCTAACTTCTTGAATTTATGTAAAGTATGACTACAGCTAGTAAAACCCGTAAAAATGGAATGGCAGTAAACCCAAATCCACAAGAAAAACTGCAGTTACTGTATTTTTAATACTGATACTGAATTCTGACAAAGGTGGGAAAAATCATCAACTGTCCTTCTTTGCCTCCCCTTTATGGACCCTAGACTTCTAAATGGAGGTCTTTATGAGGTGCCCCGTGTCACTTGTTAACTGCATCCTTATCTTGAACTCCATTCCTAAGCACATGGCTTTGACATACATACCTGAAGAAGTGCGATGTATATTAATAGTTGAATTCAGCTCTGGGCTTCCTTGGTCTAAATAAATTATGGCTTCAATAGGAAGTGGCCCAGAGCATTCGGCTCCATTAAATGTAAAATACCACCGCTGGCAGCATGCATTTTTGCATTTGAGTCGAAGTGATCCACTGAAGAGAACTCTTAGAGCACTGTTAGAGCGCATCTTTGTGAATGTACATTCCTAAGGAAAATAAGAATGAATTGTTGGCTGTGGCTTTTGAACGCACTTCACTAATTCTTTTGAGAATACGTTAATCACCTTCTCTGTTCTCCCCCTTCATTTCCCTGCTCCTTTTTATTAAAAAACAGCACCTGACAAGTAAGTCAATGCCCCAAAACACTGATCTGTGTTTCAAACACCCCCAGAGGTTAGGGGAATGTTGAGCTCCTATATTTTAATATGAGACCATGTATGCAGTCAAGTTAGGTATCTAAATATCTTTGGAGTTTTCCTTTCTTTCTTCTTTCTTTCCCCACACTCTCCTTCCTTGCAGGTAAGGATAGTGTTACCAGCTCTCTCAAACCAGTCCATACTCAACACAAAATGTTAGCCAGAAAAGGTTGATGAAAAGATACAGGATTATCTTGATGCTGTACAAGGTGGATAAATTAGTTTTTAAAAAAGTTTTAATAGGGATTATTTCTTTAAACTAGATTTTCTAAAATTTAAATATTTGCTTTTTAAAATAATTATTTAAAATGCTGACAAGTTATGTTAAAGCCTTCATTAACTATTTATTAAATATTTTAAAGTGATTTTAATATTAAGTTCTACATATTTGCTACCTAAGTTTTAAAGAACATCAAACCACTGCCTCTGCACATGGACATTAGTTTGCTGAGGTGTTAAACCAGCCTGTGACAACAGTAGCCTCTTCTGCAGGTGCAGAGAGAATTTTTTCTTCATTACAGTTTATTCAACTAGTTCAATGACTTGTTCATTCAAAGTTAAGAAACTGATTGGAAGTTGAAAAAGCAGGAACCTGTTTTCCTTTTCCGATCTAGGAATAAAATCTAGGTGTGAGAGGATGAGATCTCCTAGTTCTAAAATCTTGAAGGAGGTGACCAGAAACAATCACTTCATTTACATAAGAATGGCCATACTGGGTCAGACCAAAGGTCCATCAAGCCCAGGATCCTGTCCTCTGACAGTGGCCAATGCCAGGTGCCCCAAAGTGAATGAACAGGTTATCATCAAGTGATCCATGCCCTGTCACCCAATCCCAGCTTGTGGCAAACAGAGGCTAGGGACACTATTCCTGCCCATCCTGGCTAATAGCCATTGATGGACCTATCTTCCATGAATCTATCTAGCTCCCTTTTGAACCCTGTTATAGTATTGGCCTTCACAACATCTTCTGGCAAGGAGTTCCAGAGGTTGACAGTGCGTTGCATGAAAAAATACTTTCTTGTGCTTATTTTAAACCTGCTACCTATTAATTTCATTTGGTGGCCCCTTGTTCTTGTATAATGAGTAGGAGTAAACAACACTTCCATATTTACTTTCTCTATACCACTCATGATTGTATAGACCTCTATCATATCCCCCCTTAGTTGCCTCTTTTCCAAGCTGAAAAGTCCCAGTCTTATTAATCTCTCCTCATACAGAAGCTGTTCTATACCCCTAATAATTTTTGTTGCCCTTTTCTGAACCTCTTCCAATTCCAATATATCTTTTTTGAGATGGGGCGACCACATCTGTACACAGTATTCAAGGTGTGGGCGTACCATGGATTTATATAGAGGCAATATGATATTTTCTGTCTTATTATCTATCCCTTTCTTGATGATTCCCAACATTTTGTTCACTTTTTTGACTGCCGCTGCACATTGAGTGGATGATTTCAGAGAACTATCCACAATTACTCCCAAGATCTTTCTTGAGTGGTAACAGCCAATTTAGATCCCATCACTGTATATGTATAGTTAGGATTATGTTTTCCAATGTGCATTACTTTGCATTTATCAACATTAAATTTCATCTGCCATTTTGTTGCCCAGTCACCCAGTTTTGTGAGATCCTTTTGTAGCTGTTTGCAGTCTGGCTGGGACTTAACTACCTTGAGTAGTTTTGTATCATCTGCAAATTTTGCCACCTCACTGTTTACCTCTTTTTCCAGATCGTTTATGAAAACAGACGCTCCGCGGGTTACACAAACCCGATTTATGCAAATCTGCACTTGCAGAAAAAGTTCCATAAGCTAGAAAGTTGGGGGGGGGGGGTTGGTTTTTTTGCGTAATGGTTGGGTATACGTTCCCGACTTACGCAAAATTCGAGTTACGCAAGGCATTCCGGAACGGAACGCTTGCGTAAGTCGGGTAGCGTCCGTATGTTAAATAGGACTGGGCCCAGTACAGATCCCTGGGAGACACCACTATTTACCTCTCTCCATTCTGAAAACTGACCATTTATTCCTACCCTTTGTTTTCTATCTTTTAACCAGTTACCAATCCATGCAAGAACCTTCCCTCTTATCCCATGACTGCTTATTTTGCTTAAGAGCCTTTGGTGAGGGACCTTGTCAAAATCTTTTCGAAAATCTAAATACACTATATCCACTGGCTCTCCTTTGTCTGCATGCTTGTTGACCCCCCCTCAAAAAATTCTAGTAGATTGGTAGGCATGGTTTCCCTGTACAAAAACCATGTTGACTATTTTCCCAACAAATTATGTTCATCTATGTGTCTGACAATTTTGTTCTTTACAATAGTTTCAACCAATTTGCCCGGTACTGAAGTGAGGCTTACTGATCTATAGTTTCCAGGGTCACCTCTGGAGCCCTTTTTAAAAATTGGTGTCACATTAATTATTCTCCACTCATTTGGTACAGAAGCTGATTTAAATGATAGGTTACAGATAATACTTAGTAGTCCTGCAATTTCACATTTGAATTCCTTTAGAACTCTTGGTTGAATACCATCAGGTCCTGGAGACTTATTACTGTTTAATTTATCAATTTGTTCAAAAACCTTCTCTAATGACACCTCAATTTGGGACAGTTCCTCAGATCTGTCACCCAAAAAGAATGGCTCAGGTTTGGGAATCTCCCTCACATCCTCAACAGTGAAGACCGATGCAAAGAATTCATTTAGTTTCTCCGCAATGGCCTTATTGTCTTTTGAGTGTTCCTTTAGCATCTTGATCGTCCAGTGGCCCCACTGGTTGTTTAGCAAACTTTCTGCTTCTGATGTATTTTCAAAAAAAATTGCTATTACTTTTGAAGTCTTTGGTTAGCTGTTTTTCAAATTCTTTTTTGGTCTTTCTAATTATATTTTTATACTTCATTTGCCAGAGTTTATGCTCTTTTCTATTTTCCTCATTAGGATTTCTCTTTTTAAAGGATGCCTTTTTGCCTCTCACTGCTTCTTTTCCTTTCAACAACTACAGCTATTTCTTTTGTTTAATAACTCAGTTTTAAATGCAAATCATGTTTTGATAAATTTTTTTCCTTATGTATCCTCCACATTTTAGTTTTATTTAACTAATAAAATTAAAAAGCTGTGTGTATGTATTTTGACTTGAAGTCCCATTTCCACTCAAGTCCAGCTTAAAATAAATCACAAGTAAAAAAAACCCACAATCACCTACTAAATAAATACACACTTCATTATTTTCAGACATAAAAAATTTAGAAATTTTAATAAATGTAAATTATGCAGTATAATTTCTTAAATAAATATAGATAGATGTGGTTAGCATAAAGAAGTGTCAAATTTCATGTAAATGCTACCTTTAGTTGTCAATCAACATATTTTAACGGTTACCCACTAATGAGAAATAACTTTTCTTTAGAAAAATAACTCAAAAGTATAAATGCAAATCAAGATTCAAATCAATTATTGAAATCAAGGTTAAAATCATGATTAAAACTGGTGACTTAAAATCAGTCCATCCTATTGCAATACTCTGATGCAAGGAAACAAGGGATGTGTTTGAAACCTGAATCCCTACATAATATAATTTTATGATTTCTCTCTTCATCATTTAGGCTCCCTGGATTTAGTAGTCACAAGACACTGTTTTTGTGAAAACTGAAAGACTCAATATTGACAGTCTATGCAATTTAGTAGAAAACATTTTCAGTTGAATTTTTAAGTGTGCCCCTCCACCTACCCAATGCTGAATAACTTGCTGATTGGGCCCACTAAGGGGCAGTTCCAAAGTAAATAGAAATTAGATATTTATTGTATCTATTGAATTAGTTCTCACACTGTGACTGCAACTGTACTACTAAAACAAAGTAGGCCTACCAATCTCAGGCTTGATGTATAGTTACTATGGAGTTGGGAATTTTTTTTCTTCTTTCTGGTCATCTTCCATACCTATTAATGTCTTCTTCTTTTTTTTTTTCTTATTTTAAAATCTCATACTCAGAGGCCTGCACTAAGGATCACAGTACTTTTGTTGAACTGGTTAGGACTTGTCAATGCTGCACAAGTCTCACCAGTAGGTTAGCCAGTTACCTCTGTAATCCATTCAGCAAATATCTTGGCTTCCAGTTCTACTGCTTCAAAAGGGAAAACTGAATTCAGGTCTGCTGTATGTACCTAGAACAACCCAGCTCTCTCACCTGCAGCTTTATTACTGAAATAAGCCACCTGGAATGTCCAATCAGTTATTACACATACTAGAAATGGGCCTGAACTAAAACTCTAGATGGGATCAACCTTGAATGTTGAAGAAAGTTTCCATCAATGTCTGCTGTGGTGTTGCTTTAACATCAGACTGCAACATCACAGGTGCTTACTTACTGCAATTTTCCCAAGATCTATGCCATAATTCAGCGCACTCCATGAACACTGTTTAAAGTTGGGTGTCCAAGACTCCTCAATGCTTTCTCGCATACATTCTCCTTTTTCTCCTTTCAACCCATCCCGACCAGGGATTCCAGGTGTCCCAGGAATTCCATTGATGCCAGGGTTTCCATCTCGTCCAGGAACACCACCAGGTCCTTGTAAACACATTCCATTGTACTGAAAAACACAAACTTTTTTCACACTTTGCTTATTGATTCTAAGGCTTAAAAATAGTGTTGCTTACTTTGTACAAGATAGGAGTCTGTTATAGAAGGCCAGGAAATTCCTCTATTAGTGAGGAAAGAATAGCAAGAAATCACATTGCCTCTCAAATACTGAAAATTAAATGAATATGTTAAAACTGGCAGCTGAGTTTGCTGTTATTGGGGTATCAAAGATAGATGCAGGACGGTAGTTTCATTAAGAGAAAATATTCATTTATGTTAACTACAAAACTGCATGGAAAAGTGTACAATATCCCCTACCTTCCAAAAAAGTTTCCCCAGATTCCAATATTAATATGGTCAATTGTTAGCCTCAGACCATGATGGTACATTTTGCTTTCACATTTGAATAGGGTGACTAGACAGCAAGTGTGAAAAATTGGGACAAGGGGTGGGGGTAATAGGAACCTATATAAAAAAAAAAGTCACAAAAATCAGGACTGTCTATAAAATTGGGACATCTGGTCTCACTACATTTTAAACAACTAGACTATGATATTTAATAATGTAAACATAACATTTGGGAGAGAGGAAGATGAAACTCAGATGGGGCTATCTCTTCTCTGCCTTCAATCCCCAAACCATTCTTTGGACCCAGAGCTGTGTAGGGTGGACCCCATGCTGTTCCACCTGTCCCTCACCCACGTAAGCTCCCGGGAGGAGACAATTTGGGGGGTGCAGACAAAGCCAGGAGAAGCAGACATAGAAGAAGCTGCAACAGGAACCTTCAGACACTGCTGATGTCCACTACATTTTTTATCTTGAACATTCTTTCCCATCTGCTGACTGGGTGCTTATTCCAATCTTCATCCCTCCACTGAGCCCTGGTCTACGCTACGGGGTTGGGTCGAATTTAGCTGCGTTAGGTTGATTTAAAAATAACTGCGTCCACACAACCAGCCCCATTCCGTCGACCTAAAGGGCTCTTAAAATTGACTTCTCTACTTCTCCCTGACGAGGGGAGTAATGCTAAAATCGACCTTGCTGGGTCGAATTTGGGGTAGTGCGGACGCAAATTGACGGGGTATTGGCCTCCAGGAGCTATCCCAGAGTGCTCCATTGTGACCGCTCTGGACAGCACTTTGAACTCCAATGCACTAGCGAGGTACGCAGGAAAAGCCCCGGGAGCTTTTGAATTTCATTTCCTGTTTGGTCAGGTGACCATGCAGTCCCCCCAGAATCGTAGAGTGTAGAATGTTTCTACGCTCTCCCTATCATCTCCATCCCTGAGGTTATCACAGATTAGAAGGCAAAACCAACGCATTTGCGAATACATGTTTTCAGAGCTCATGCAGTCCTCCTGCATTGATAGGGCACAGCTTAATGCATGGAGGCATTCAGTGGCAGAGGCCAGGAAAGAATTAAGTGAGCGTGAAGAGCGGAGGCAGGATGCGATGCTGAGGCTAATGGGGGAGCAAACAGACATGATGAAACATCTGTTGGAGCTGCAGGAAAGCCAACAAGAGCACAAATCCCTGCTGCATCCACTGTATAACCACATACCCTCCTCCCCATGTTCCATATCCTCCTCACCCAGATGACCAAGAATGCGGGGGGGGGGGGGGGGGGGGGGGGAGGGGGCAGGAAGGCTCCAGGCACCCAGCCACTCCACTCCAGAGGATGCCCAAGCAACAGAAGGCTGTCATTCAAACAGTTTGATTTTTAGTGTGGCTACAATAAGCAATGTGGCCTTGTCCTTCCCTCCTCCCCCACCCCACCCAGGCTACCTTGTCCATTATCGCATTTTTTTAATTAATAAAGAAAGAATGCATGGTTTCAAAACAATAGTTACTTTATTTTGAAGGGGGGGAGGGTGGTTGGCTTACAGGGAATTAAAATCAACAAAGGAGGCGGGTTTGCATCAAGGGCTTGGTCTACACTAAACCCCCAAATCGAACTAAGGTACGCAACTTCAGCTACGTGAATAACGTAGCTGAAGTTCGAAGTACCTTAGTTCGAACTTACCTCGGTCCACACGCGGCAGGCAGGCTCCCCCGTCGACTCCGCGGTACTCCTCTCACCGAGCTGGAGTACTGCAGTTGACGGCGAGCACTTCCGGGTTCGACTTACCGCGTCCAGACAAGACGCGATAAGTCGAACCCAGAAGTTCGATTGCCAGCCGCCGAACTAGCGGCTGGGTATAGACGTACCCAAGGAGAAACATACAACTGTCACACCGAAGCCTGGCCACTTATGAAACTGGTTTTCAAAGCCTCTCTGATGTACAACTCTCTTGCTGTGCTCTTCTAATCGCCCTGGTGGCTGGCTGCTCAAAATCGGATGCCAGGCGATTTGCCTCAACCTCCCACCCCGCCATAAACATCTCCCCCTTACTCTCACAGATATTATGGAGCACACAGCAAGCAGCAATAACAATGGGAATGTTGATTGCACTGAAGTCTGACCAACAGCACCAGTGAGCTTTTAAACATTGTGGAAGTAGAGAAAGAACTGACAGCGATTTGAAGGGGATTTCATATTCAAACAGTCCCCTTGTGTAAGCAAGAATCAGGCTAGCTGTAACCCTAATAATGCGAGATCTGTAGAAGCAAGGATTGTGTGAGGCGAGTGGGAAAGAACTGTATGAGAAGTTGTTGTGACCTTCTGCTAGATAAGTATAGAATGTAGACTATAGTCTAAATTGTTGAGGAAAATAAGATATCAGGAGGACATATGTATAAACAAAATGCAGCTGTCATCCATTATTGTATGTAACAAAAGGTATAAATGCTTGCTGTAATTGTTTACCTGGAGAGAGATCTGTTTTGCTCTCTCCCTCCATGCAATTGCTAGAGAAAATAAAATATCTGACTTGTTGCACCCAACCTGAGAGTGAGAACTCTGTTTTTCTCTGACAACATCCAAAGGCACATTCTACCACCTTTCTGCACTTACTCAGCCTATAGTTGAACCGCTCTTTACTACTGTCCAGGCTTCATGAGTCATGGGAGCCATGGGAAGTGGTGGAGCCGTACACCATGCCTTGGAGTTTGCTAGGAGCTGGGCAGGGAAATCATTCCCAGAACCCCTGCCAAGCTACATGTCCGACGAGGATGGGTACCAGTCCTACTGTACCATCTGCTGCGAAGGCAAGCAGTTGCTGCTGTGTAGCAATGCCAGCTGCTGCAGGTGCTTCTGCGTCAAATGCTTGGAGATCCTGGTAGGGCAACTTTGCCTTGGCCAAGGCAAAAGAACAAGAGCCCTGGAGCTGTTACATATGTCAACCACAGAAGTGCTATGGGGTATTACAGCACCGACCAGACTGGAATGTACAACTGCAAGACTTCTTCACCAGCAACAAAGGACAGAAATATGATGCACCTAAAATCTAAAAAGGCCCGCACATTTCCCAGAATCACTACCTTTGATAACAGAACATCAATGATTGCATTGGCTACTTGGATCACAACAGCCCCCACAGTAGACTTGCCCACAACAGCAGTGGACTCCAGGCTTGCCGTGGTATGGCATCTGCAAGGGTAACCCAGGAAAAAAGGCGTGAAACGATTGTCTGCCGTTGCTTTCACAGAGGGAGGGGCAACAGACGACATGTACCCAAAACCACCCAAAAACCAACAATGTTTTTGCCCCATCAGGCATTGGGAGCTTAAACCAGAATTCCAATGGGCAGTGGAGACCAAATAATAAATACATAAAATGGAAAGTCCTGCAAAGGAAGTAAACTGAGATCCAGAATAATGAACTTTTGACATTTCCTACAATATTCAAAAAGAAAGATGCACTGTTGGCAAATGCAGTAATAAGAACATGCCAGTGAAACATTTGATCAAGGAACAGATCTTTTAAAAGGCCCATTGAATATTAGTCTGGTCTCAGAGGCCCCTACAAAACTAATAAGCAAGACACAGTTATGTGAAGACATCTTAATTTCTTACAGTACTGCTTGTACCAATTCATTTGATACATTTTGCCTCTGCCTGGGAACCAGACGTGCTGCTGGCCGCTTCCGGGGCGCAGCGCGGTCCATGGTGCCAGGACAGGCGGGAAGCCTGCCTCTGCACCCAGGCTGCACCATTAACCGGGAGCCACTGGAGGTAAGCCCATGCCCCAACCCCGGAGCCCCCTCCCAAAGCCCTCATCCCCGGCCCCACCCCAGAGCCTGCATCCCCAGCCCAGAGCCCTAACCCCCTCCCGCACTCCAACCCCCTGCCCCAGCCCTGAGCCCCCTCCTACATGCTGAACCCCTCATTCCTGGCCTCACCCCACAGCCCTCACCCCCGCACCCCAACTCTCTGCCCCAGCCCTGAGCCCTTCCCACACCTCAAACCCCTCATCCCCCGCTCCTGGGTCGCCAGAAAAAAAGTTTGAAAACCAATGATATAGAGCAGTATAAACAAGTCATTGTCTGTATGAAATTTTAGTTTATGCTGACTTCGCTAGTGCTTTTTATGTAGCCTGTTGTAAATCTAGGCAAATATCTAGATGAGTTGATGTACCCCCTGGAAGACCTCTGCTTACCCACAGGGGTATATGTACCCCTGGTTGAGAACCACCACTTTAACTGATCTGTAAAAAGCAACAGAGAGTCCTGTGGCACCTTTAAAACTAACAGATGTATTGGAGCATAAGCTTTCGTGGATGAATACCCACTTCGTCAGACACATGCCTGACCTGGACATTTTAGTTTTAGATTCCACCAGGGGGCAGAGCTAGCCAAAAAGAGGGTGCTCCAAACTGATCTAACATTAAAGAAATTTTGAATATTTCCAGAGAGGGTGGTTTAAACTTTTGCAGACCTAGAAACTCACATATGCAAAATAATTACATGGGCTTTGGTCTCCTCTTCAGCCAAACCGATCTGTACTCACCAGATCAATTATTTTCACATATGGTATGCTGCTTTTGAAGTGGAATGAGCATATTGTTGTAAAATGACAATGTTGTGTCTGTTGAAGCAAGGCGGCCCCTTGTCATGTTTTTGGTTCTATTTTTGAAGGAGTCTGTGTCCAAGTTATTTTATCTGACACAGTTAGTATACATCTACTTAAGTATGTTTCCTTAGCTTCCACCAATTTATCTGAGTTATAGATCTCAGCCAGCCAAGGCTGAAAAGCAGGATGCAGTGCCAGGCAAATACTCAAGATGAGGAACACAAAAATATTTGTTCATACAGAAAACTTAAGATGTGGGATTCACTCCTTTAATTTCCCATAATCTCAGATTCATTAGTCCTTATTTTTTATATAAAAAATGTCCAACAATGAAAGTGAGATGGCACCAAAGCAGTGTGTAACACAGGTGGGTTTAGGACTGAAACTAGTGATAGCCCTCAAACTGAAGTACATTTGAAGGGTATGATCTAGGTACATCTGCTGACAATGCCATCTACATACCAAAAACAGCAGCATCCTTTCCATCCTAAAAAAATATAGTTGTTAGTGAATACAAGTGTGGGATCCCTGCAAAGACTTACCTTTGTCTGGAGGGAAGAAAAATCCATGCCATTTGTTTTCTATGGCTCTATATAGCCTTCAGTGCATTTGTAGTTGCAATGAAACAGCATCCAGAAATGTGCCATGTATAAGCACCAGTGTGAATTTGTTTACACATGGGAAAGAGGGATTTAATAAAATGAGAGTTGTTCAGTGCTTGTGGCTCTTTAGTTTAAATGTAACCTTTTTTTCTTTATCTTGTCCTTTATTTACTATTCTAGTTTAGTTAATCAGGGCTTAAAAATTTCAGTTTTGCATAGGTGATGTCTTAGTAAGGAAGGATAGCAGTTCACAGTCCACTCTTTTTTATTGAAACAATCCAGCCACACTAACTTGGCCTTGCTTCCTCATGCGGACATGACTGGAGAGAAGGGTATGTATTACTTTAACCACAGACTCCCGACTCTGCTATGTAAAAATCTGAGGAACACAATCTGCATCTGGAAAGAAATAGCTTCCATGAAGACAAATCCATTCTAAACATTTCCCTGAATCATCACAATTAGTGAGCAATAAAATGTAGAAAAGAAGCTAAATCAAATTACTCATCCTTCCTGCAAAAATGACCCAGCATAACTGAGACTATGGTCAGATCTTCAAGTTACAACTGGGTTTGGGAAAGGGGAACTGTCCTGGCTGGCAGAAAGGAGCTGTTCTCCCAACAATAGACACGTTGCAGAGACTGGCCCCTAGAGCTGCACTAGCCTCTTCCTGGGATAAAGCAAAGGAGAGGATTGGGTGGTTCCAACTCTTTGAACGAAAAAGGAGCAGGGAAGATTCCGCAGCAGCTCCTCACTTGTTACTGTCACTTCAAATCCACAACATCACTCCCAACCTTGTCCACCAGCTCCCCCCACATCAGACCCCTCTGTCTCCAGGCCCCCACTCCAGCCCTCCTAACCCCTCTCCAGGCCCCCTCTGCCCCATCATCTACTCCTAGCCCCACTACAGCCCCTCCCCAGCCCCCTCTGCTCTGTCCCTCTCTCCCGACCCCTTGCTCCAGAGTCTCCCGCTGCTCCAGACCCCTCCATTCCCATCCCCTATTTCCGAGCCGCGTGCAGCGCGGGCAGACTCACCACATCCACCACCTCCCTCTGGCGCAGCGCCTTGTGCTTCCCCTTCGGGCTCTCGGACTCCCCGAGCGGCGGGGCAACCAGCAGCAGCGCGGCCAGGAGCAGCGAGGCGGCGGCGGCAGCGGCGGGCGGAGAGCGCATGGTGCGGGGCAGCCGGGGGCGCGGGGCCGGGCTGGCTGGGAGCGCAGCTAGCGAGAGGGGGGGATGAGTCAGTGTCTGCAGCGCGCTGGATAAATGAGCCTTTCACAGCCCCGAGCCTGAGCTCCCTCCCTGGGGACGCCAGGAATTTCCATCCTGTAACACGGCAGCAACTCCCAGCCTGAGCCGTCCGGCCACAGCCACAGGCCCGCCGGGGCTTCCCGCCCCCGCATTGCCCGACACTCCCACGCCAGCCTCAGGCACCCCGCAGCCGGCACTCACTGGGTAAGTGTGCTGGGGCTGTGTGCCCCTGACCCGTAGCACTGGCAACATACAACTGTGCCGCCTGTGCCGTGCAGCCCCCCTCGCTGGAGTCAACTGTACCGCCTGTGCCCCTGACCCTTAGCACTGGCAACATACAACTGTACTGCCTGTGCCACTGACCCTTAGCACTGGCAACATACAACTGTACCGCCCGCCTGTGCCCCTGACCCTTAGCACTGGCAACATACAACTGTGCCATGCAGCCCCACTTCCTGGAGTCAACTGTACCGCCTGTGCCACTGACCCGTAGCACTGGCAACATATAACTGTACCGCCTGTGCCACTGACCTGTAGCACTGGCAACATATAACTATACTGCCTGTGCCATGCAGCCCCCCCTCCCTGGAGTCAACTGTACCATCTGTGCCCCTGAACCTTAGCACTGGCAACATACAACTGTGCCATGCAGCCCCACTTCCTGGAGTCAACTGTACCGCCTGTGCCACTGACCCATAGCACTGGCAACATACAACTGTACCGCCTGTGCCACTGACCTGTAGCACTGGCAACATACAACTGTACTGCCTGTGCCATGCAGCCCCCCTCCCTGGAGTCAACTGTACCGTCTGTGCCCCTGACCCTTAGCACTGGCAACATACAACTGTACCACCAGTGCCACGCAGCCCCCTTCCCTGGTGTCAACTGTACTGCTTGTGCCACTGACGGCTAGGACTGACAACATATCACTGTACAGCCTGTGCCACGCAGCCCTCTTCCCTGGGATCAGATGAGTGTACCGCCGATACCATGCAGCCCCCTTCCCTGGAGTCAGACAACTGTACTGCCTGTGCTACACAGCCCCCTTCCCTGGAGTCAACTGTACTGCCTGTGCCACTGACCCTTAGCACTGACAAGATACAACTGTACCACCTGTGCCATGCAGCCCCCTTCCCTGCGGTCAGACTACTGTTCTGCTTGTGCCACACAGCCCCTGTCCCTGGAGTAAGACAACTGTACCACGCCACCCCCATCCCTGGGGTCAGACAACTGAACTGCCTGTGCCACGCAAACTACAGCCCCTTCCTGTGGGGTCGGTCAACTGAACTGTCTGCGCCATGTAGCCTACAGCCCTTCCCATGGAGTTGGACAACTGAACTGTCTACACCACGCAGCCTACTGCCCCTCATGTGGAGTCAAACAATTGAACCATCACCCGGAGTCAAAAAACTGAACCGTCAGCACCATGCAGCCTTCAGCCCCTTCCATGGAGTCAGACAACTGAACCATTTGTGCCACACAACCAAAACCCCTGCACCTACTCCCCCCCCCCAAGGTTCTGTCATCATCCCCCCCGCCGGCCAGGCCATACACTGTGGACCCTCCACTTGCCCAGGGTAGGGTGTGGTCGAGATCAGCCCCCAGCCCGTGTCCACACCCCATGGGCTTCCCTTCTCCCGCCTAGGGCAGGAGGTTCTGCAGCTCCCCACAGCTACCCATGTACAGCTCTTACCTGGACCCAGCTCCAGCTGGGGGGCCATAGTGCGGCCATGGTGAGAGCCACGCGGGCAGGCGTGGGGCTGCACTGTGGACCCTCCACCTGCCCTGGGCAGGGGGCCGGTGGGGCCGGGACATAGGCCAGGGGCTGCTCTTGACCCTCCCCATGCCAGGCAGATGGAAAGTCCGCAGCTCCTGGCCTGCTCTGGCTTCTGGCTTGGCCGGGGGGGGTGTTGCCCTGGATTTAAGGGGTGTGTATATTCCAGAATGTAATTAAGTGAATTGCAGCCATATTATGTGCATTCAGCCACCATGTAGTAATGAAATAAAATACCACATAGTTGAGGGTTAATTTAAAGACAGGCTTTCAGAAGCAAGGTCAAAACTAGTAACAGCTTCTGCTAATCAGAATGGGAGGAGGGGACAGACAAATAAACAAGTGAAACTAAAAACCTTTTTAAAAGACATCATTTTTCCTGGTTGGAAAACCTTGAGTCTGGGCTCCTCTGATACTAGAAGTTTATTGAAAGTTAGGAAAAGTAATAATTCAGTACTGGTCATTGTAACTAAGGCTTAGATTTTGTCACGGATATTTTCAGTAAAAATCATGGACAGGTCACAGGCAATAAACAAAAATTCACTGAAGCCCGTGACCTGTCCGTGATTTTTATTAAAAATATCCCTGATGAAATGGGAAGCGGGGGGGAGGGGGAGGAGGGTGTTCAGCACCCACAGCGGCTGGGCTGCTGCAAGGTCCAATCCCTGCCCTGGTGACTGGGCAGCTGCAGTGGCTCCTGCCGCCCCCCTCAGCTGGGGTGCTGTGGGGGGGCTCCCGCCACCCACTGCAGCTGGGCTGCAGCAGGGTCCCCCTGCCCTCCCCTGTCACTCGCCACGACTGGGCTGCTTTGAAGTAGTCTTCTGAAGACATTTTTCCTGGCACCTTTGCTCACCGGTGGGTGAGCAACTGGCCACTGCAAACCTGCTGTTAATTACTCAGTACCGTTCCAGATGTTAAATAAATATCTGGGATGTTCTAAAACTATTGCTTATGTCTGTGTGTGCTTAAATCTAATAAACTGCAGTATTAGACAAAGCACACTTACTTGCATTTAATCCTTAATCAGACAGAATTGCTGTGTTCCTATTGATTTATTCCTGATACTGTCTGGAGTGAAATAGTTAAGTTACCACTGTTAGGGGTTCTGAAAACCCAGGGGCAGAAGAGGAGGGGTGGGGTGGAGGCCCCTGGCCCTCCCATATTTGGTCAGGCTCTGCCACCCTTGTCTGTGCCACTCAGTTAAAACATACAATGGTATTCATGAACTAATTCTGAAAATAGGAATGATCTACCAAAGCTACTGTCAACAATCTTATGCAAATTCATATTTAGACACCATTTTAAAAATAGATTTATGGAGTTGTTACTGTCCTGTGAATCAATATGGCTGCCATGCAGAAAATAGATTAATCCAGAAAATTGCCACGTAGGCCTATATTTGGAAGATGCTTTATACGTTTCATATCTCTTTCATTATTCTATCATTTGTCTGACAACCCTAGAGATCCTACTATTATAACCCTCCTTTTAAACCTTTGTGGCCCTGTTTTACAGTTAATATCTTTCTGGTTAAGGAGCTGTTTATCCAGGAACTCTCAGAACAATTCTACAGAAGGCAGATTGATGCTATTTTAGCTACAGCAAAGATTCCCAGCAGAGGCATAATGTGGCATGAGTATTGTTACTTTTGAAAATACTATCTAAATATGAATGTTTAGATGACAGGATCTATTTCATTTTAACAGGTGTGGAGCATAGAGGACACAAAATCTTTTTTCCCAGCAGAAGAAAATTAGACCTTTATGAAATAACATTATATTGCCTCTCACTGAGTACTTTTGATCTTGTATTCAAGGAAATGCCACAATACTAAGAACTACAACCAATATAATTCATCTCACACTGCATTAATTAAAATAATAGTTTATTATGAAGTCATATTAGAAATAAAATCAATCCAAAATAAATTATGTTATTTGTTGCCACTGATTAGGACTGGAAGAGTCAGACAGTTACTTGAGAGATAACCCATGCAGACATCAGCCTGAGTAGGATTATAGAGGTAAGGTTTCCACAAGGATGAAATATTCTTGAATATTTCACATTACTATTTTGTATTCATATGTGTGAATGCCTGTGTGCAAGGCTTTTTAAGTGAAAAGACCATTACATCTCGCTCTCTCAGCTGCTGAAGTCAAAGACTAGTGGCACAAAAGGTCGCAAAGACTGGGAATTTCATTAGCTGCAGTAGATAGCCATTGACATGTTTTGTGCCTTGTCAAGCCTTACATACTCAACAATATGTTGTTGCAGTGCCTTTCCAACTATTGGATCAATAAGTCTCCTCCACCCAGTCTGCCAAAACGGATTTAGTATGTTGGGGGTAGGCATTTCCCCTCATGGCTACCCTCTACCTGGTTTATCCTACCAGTTGAAATTCATTTAGATACTCAGTGCCGGCTGTGTTTGGACATTGCTCCTGGGAGTCTCTCTGCTTTATTTTCATGCAAGAACAACCATCAGAGAGAGAGAGAGAGAGAGAGTCTGTCTGTCTGTCTGTCTGTCTGTCTGTCTCAGACATTCTCCCAGGCTCCTTGCTGGCTGAAATGTCTCCAGGAAGCATCAACTTGTCAGAGGCTCCGGTGAAGAAACAAAGCTAGATCTCATATGGCAGTCCACGTACAATCAGTGCCAAATGGGGTGGTGATTTTGTGATGTATGGTCCACGGGGAAGTGGACTGAAACTTCCAACTCACCTCACAATGGCCAAACAACAGCTAACAGATAGTCATGACTTGGGACTACTACTTACTTGGACCAGCTATGTACATTTATGTCATTAAATAATGCTTAATAATATTTGCATCCATGGTTGAAGTAAATGTTTCCATTGTGAACTGTGTTATCCTCATCTATTTTTGAGACCCTTGAGATCTAAAACCACTAACTCTTACAGAAAATTTTCCTTACTATGAGGACACCCCCGAGAACTTTTTTATAGTGAAGGAATTGACTGTTTCCACTAGTTGTAGCATGCACTCTATTTATTTAATGAACATTGGATGTTTTTGAGCATTGAGCGAGAAAAGTGAGTCAGCGAGAAATAGTGTAGGAGATGCTGCAAGTTCCAATAAGTATGCCTGTTGTAAAATCCCCAGTACTCATTTGTCTGCCATTCTGGGTTGCCATCTGGAAGAAATTAAGGTAGACATAGTCCCAAACCTAATCCAGTCTGAACCCTATTCTCTGACAGTCTGCATGGGATGTGATTTTTGACTTCTTTAAATGCTCTCTATTTGCATATCTGAGGACAGTCATCATTATGCAGGTTTAGCTGTAATAGTCAGATGGCATGAAATTCAATCAAGTAATATGGATAGATTTTAAGGC